CCTCCTCCTTCTCCTCCGCCTTCCCCCCCCCCCCGCCCCCTCGCCTCCCCTCGAAGCCCGCCACTCGTCGCTCCATCCCCTGCCCCTCTTCATACCATGGCCGACAAGCGGAGGATCTGTGCTCCGATCGATACGGTTCCCCCCGTCGGAAACCCCCGGCAGCCCTGCACCGCGGCTTCCGGTCGCCTGGGCGGCCGCGATGCCATGGCCGTTCGGCCAATCTGTGCGCCCTGCTCGTCTCCTCGCCTGCACCAGCTTGTCCGCCCACTCGGCCGCTGCCCCAGCCCCACTCGCCCTCTGACCCGCTTCCTCTCCGATGCCATCCTTTTTTTTTTCTTCCCAATGACCAGTCCTTGAGACCGATGTCAATCCCCAGGCCACCGGATCTAGTCTGCTCGAGATGAATGGGACAAAGGTCATTTGCTCGGTGTACGCGCTCCACACACACACACACACACACACACACACACACACACGCGAACACTGCTCCTGTCCCATCCCGATTGTGCACCGGCCACCCTCAAGCCCATGGATGCCACCGGTACCGGTGGCCGGCTTCGGCATCTGACTCTACCTCCTGCATTCTCTCGACTCTTCTCTCCCTTTGGCCCAGTTACGGTCCTCGCCAGTCGCACCGGCGCCAGCCCTTCCGCGACACCGGTGTCATCGATGTCGAAGTCCTGACGTCTCCCTTTGCCGGGACCCATCGTCTCGCCCCTGGCAAGGTGCGCTCATCGCATGGGCTTGATATCCCCCCCCCCCCCTGCCTGGCCCTTCCCATGTCGAGGCAATGCACTCCGCCCACTTTCCTGCCATCCGCCCATGGCAGCATACAAATGAGCTGACCCGTTTCCCGGAAATGCCACCGCCACGTGCAGAACGCCCAAGATGGTGAGCTTGCTGCCCTTGTGGAGCAGGCTCTCCTGCCGTCCCTCCGCCTCGACACCTTCCCCAAGCTCTCGGTCGACATTTACATCGTCATCCTGGAGAACGGGGGATCTGTCCTGCCGGCTGCCATCAACTGCGCCACGGCCGCCCTGGCTTCGGCCGGCATCCCCATGAACGACCTGGCCATCGCCTGCAACACTGTTTCTATCGCTGCCTCTGCTCCCGCCTCGGGTGCCGATCAGTCGCAACAGAGCCTCTGGATTGATCCGTGCCTGGAGGAAGAGGCATCGCCCGATCTGGCCGGCAGCATGCTGGTCACCTACATGCCCACACTCAATGAGACGTCGCTCATGATTTCGACCGGCTCCGCTCCGCCGACCCAGGTGACCGAGGCTTTCCACACCTGCCTGGCCGGATGTCTCAGCCTGCATAAGACCATTGTCGAGTGCCTGACGCGGGACGCCTGAACGCGTCTGCCTGCCATCTTCGGATCTCCCTCCCTTTCTAGCTCTTCCATAAACACCTGCCCTCTGCTTCTCTCTCCTTCTCTTTCTCGCCGCCCCGGACCATCAACACACACACACACACACGCACACACCTGCATTGTCATTTTCCAGGGTGAAATTGGATGCTATCTATTTCTCTGTATGAGACTGGGGGCGGGGGGGGGGGGGGAAGAGGAAAAACCATAGGATAGTACATTGAGGGGGTCCCCGCTCAGGAAGGGAGGTTAATGAGGAGCGTTGACCTTTCAAACAGCCATATCCATGCTAATCCGAGGGTGCGGGTTGTAGCCGATGATCTCCAGATCCTCAAAGGTGATGGCGTTGATGTCGGTGGTGGTGGTGTTGATCTTCAGCTGGGGGAAGGGACTGCATCGGGGGGTGGCAGACCGGCCCGAGTGCCAGGACGAATCGAGTCAGCGGGTGGTGAAGCAAAAGGAGCATGGTCGGAGAGGGTGAGACGCACCGCGGCTCGCGCTTGAGCTGCTCCTTCAGCGCATCAACATGGTTCTTGTACACATGGGTGTCACCCATGATGTGGATCAGCTCACCCGGCCGGAGGCCAGTGCAATGGGCAATCAGGCACGTCAGCAGCGCATAGCTGGCGATGTTGAATGGCACACCGAGCCCAAGATCACACGAGCGCTGGTAGAACTGGCAGGACAGCTCGCCACGCTCGATGTTCACGTAAAACTGGGCCATCAGGTGGCAGGGAGGGAGAGCCATCTCGGGAATGGCTGGGGGATGATATCATCAGTGTCAAGGCAGAGATGGAGGGAAGAAGAGAGAGGGAGGGAGGGAGGAAACAAAGATGGAGACCCAGATGGGGACAGCGAGAAGGGCAGGGAGTGGGAGAACAGTGCGCACCCGCGGGATTCCAGGCCGAGAAGAGAATGCGCCGGTCGGTGGGGTTGGTCTTGATGGTCTCAATGATCTGGGCGATCTGGTCGACGCCCTTGCCGGTGTAGTCGGTGTCGGCGTCCTTGTACTCGGCGCCAAAGTGCCGCCACTGGAAGCCATAAATGGGCCCAAGGTCCCCCTCGCGCCGGTGGTGCAGCCCTCGGCTGTCAAGGAACTCGCGGCTGCCATTGCCGTCCCAGATGTGGATACCCTTCGCCGAGAGCTCCTTGCCGTCGGTGCGCGCGCCGAGGAACCAGAACAGCTCTTCGGCCACACCGCGCCAGAAAACACGCTTGGTGGTCAACAGGGGGAAGGAATCGCGCAGGGAGTAACGCGCGCTGCAGCCAAAGAGAGCCAGTGTCCCGACGCCGGTCCGGTCATTGCGCGACTCGCCATACTCGATCGCTCGCTGGACCAGATCCAGGTACTGACGCTCCTCGTGGACCGGCTTGGAGGGAGACATGGAGGCAGGAGGAGCGTCTTCCTGGGAGCTGGCCATCTCAGCCGAGTTGCGATCCGGCAAAGGGGAGAGGCAAGACATGTGAGGAGATGCTCAGGCAGGGATGGGCGGGGGGAGGACGGGCAGAAAGAGCGGGAGAGGAGGAACAGGCACAGCCAGGGGACATGAGCTGGGGCTGTAAAAAACGTGGAAAAGCGATGTCTGCTTGCGGGTGGCTGCGACATCCGCCCCTTTGTGTTCCCCCCCCCCCCCCCCCCCCCCCCCCCCCCCCCCCCCCCCCCCCCCCTACCCCGAGGTCGCGCCTGGCAGCTCAAACCCGAGGGGCATGGCCTCCCCGAGACTGGGGCCGCATTTGTCGAAAAAGGTGCGCCCGGTAACGGCCTCATGTCAGCTGATCTGGGGCCGTGCATGATCCACCATGAAAGCCCACAATCAGGCTGCTGTGCTGCCACGGCGCCCCGACCGGTCACCCACCCAATCGGTGTGCCCCGCGTCGGGGGCAGCCTGGACGAGGGCGAATAGGTCGCGGGGATCGGGGAGCTAGATCCGGCACAGAGCACCCATTGATGGCGGACAGAAAGACCACGGCTCCGGGCTGCTTACTAAGTACGCACGCCCAGGTAACAGCAGGGAAGGGTGCAGAGACAGGAGGGGAGGCAGAGGAGGGACCAGGTAGGAAGGGGGGAGGGGACCTGCTCACAGAGAGGGGGCAAAAGCGTGTCTGGATCTTGGGGGCTCTTTGCCGGCCCTTGCGCCGTTGAAAAGGGGGATCGGGATCATTGAATTCAAAAGGGTTTTCCTGTTTTGGTGGAGCATTTTTGCTCCAAGGTTTCCCCCCCCCCCCGTCTGCTGGCCGCCCCCGAAAAACGGCATATTGCCGAAACAACACTCCCTAGCATGGTGCCCCGCCGACAGCGCGGCCGCATCTCCAACAGGCCGCCGATGACTGGAGTGACACACATGTAAATGTGCTGATATGTGGGGCAGCGGTGGGGAGGGGGGGGGGGGGGGGCATCTTTTCTCGGCAGTGCACATCACCATCGGTTTGGTGGATTGGTGGTCGAAAAACGCCTCGGATCGCGACGCCAGCGCCACGCATGGCGTCGTATTCCGGTCCCCGGGACCCAGAGACCGAGTCGGCCCAGCTCAGGCGGCTATGGTAGCCGCGGGGCTGGCGGGGCGAGGTGGAGCAAAATGGAATAAAATATATTCCCATACCGGGACTCGAACCCGGGTCTCGTGGGTGAGAGCCACGTATCCTAACCACCTAGACTATATGGGAGTTGGAATGATGTATACATCATTGCCATAAAACCTAACCTTATTCTGGGCCCCGCGGGGAATGAACAATTGGCACCGCAGTTCGTACGCCGGCCGTCGCGCAGCCCATGGCAAGGGAGAGCCAAGACCGGGCGGTTTTTCCGCCCCACGAGAGGGCTACGCGCGGCCCCGTACACGCACAGACGTACTCGCCCATGCAAGAAGTACGCACGGGCGCGCCCCCGCAAGTTCTGATGGGGGCACTCAGGCGCCCATACGCATGCTGCCAGCCGCCTCCGGGGTGGGCCCCAGTACGGGCGGGGGGATCAGGACAGGGGGCGAGCATGGGCAGCGCGGGACTCTGCCTGGCGGCCCCACAAGTGTGTGGCCCCCCGCACCTCGCTAGAAAATAGGAGAGCCGCGCCCCTTCAAGCGCGTTAATACGCGCCTTCGCGCGACGCACGCGCCGCGCACAGGGGCGTCTTCTTAAGGGGCTTCCGGGCCGGTCGGGTCGGTGCCCCTGTTTTTTTCCCCCCCCTCCCCCGCGCCCACCCCCGCGCCGTTGACTGTCCCCACCACCCCCGGGGGTTGCCCCCGGCGCAGGGGAGCCCCTGAGCAAGTGGCCGCGAGGACCAGCAGTTTACCACTGGCCTCGTGCCGGCTGGCATGAAAGAGGGGGAGGCTGTTTCGGTGGCTGCCATGGATTTAGGCCGGCCTGGCCAATCCCCGCGCCCCGGGGTTCGGGGGAGATGGGGGCCAAGTCCCCCCCCCCCTCCTGGTGCCGCCCTCCCGCCTCGGGCCATCACAAAGGAAGGGGGAAGAGCCGGGCGGCGGAAGGGGGGGGGGGGGGGGACGGTTGGAGATCTGCCATTTTCGGGGCCCCTCCCTCCTGCCTGATGCTTCACACCCGATGCCAGCCTCTCCCCCCCCCCCAGCGCCTCCCCCGCCGCCCACCTCCTGCCCTCTCCCTTCCTCTCTCTCTCTCTCTCTCCGCCCCTCGCCCGAGCCCTCCTCCCCCCTTCTGCCTCATCCATCCACCCCTGCCCCCACCCGCACCCGACCCCGCACGTACGAGAGAGAAAGCGAGCGAGGCGCACAAAGATGAGCTCCTCCAGCTCGGGCTTCGTGCCGTATGTCGTGGTCGCCACGGCTACGCTCATTTCCTACGATGCCGATGGCGTCCAAGTCCCCTTTTCCATGGAGCCCGGGGAGAAGATCACAGTCCTGGACAATAGCGGTGCCCGCCCTGGCATGTGGAAGGTATGACCACGTCCTTCCTGGGACTTTCCCCTTGTCGCTCGGCCTGCCTGTTCGCACCTCCACCCGCCCATTCTCCCGGCACAACGCCCCTGCTTCGGGCCGTATTCACCGGTACATCAACCTCCCCCTCTTACCATGCGCCCCGATACACAGGGCATCAATGCTGCCGGCCATGTCGGCTACTTCCACAGCTCCATGGTCAACAATCAAATTGGCCCGGCAAACCCGGCGGCCTCCGCCGCCTCAGCCGCGGACCCTGCCCCTGCCGCGGCTCCAGTCGACCTGGTCGCCACCCCCACCTCCACTCTCTCGTTGGATTTGGATAGCGGCTCCTCGCAGCCCGGGTCGCCGAGCCTCGCGTCCACCGGCGGCCGGCAGAGCGGCCTCAAGCGCGCCCTCTCCCGGCGGACTCGGAATGCCGGCGGCTCGACCATCGTCCCCAATGTCTCCCTCACTCTCGATGGCCGGATCACCGCCACGCCGGTTACCCCCCTGCAGACGGCCGCCGGCGATCCGGGCGCCCTGCAGGTTTCGAGTGATATCCTCCTGCCGCCGGTTGACGATGACCTGCCCGAGGTGACATCCGCCCCGCCGACCAGCGCCCCGGTCAACCTGGCCCCCATCTCGCCGCTGGATTTGGATGTGTCACGACTGGCCGGCAGCGACACCGGGCAGGCTTTGTCAACCCCGACGCGGGCCCTCTTTTCGACCTCCAACTCGCCGGCCCTCCTGCCGACCGATGGGCCCGGCTCGGCAGCGCCACTCTCCCCGCCGGAGTTGATCGACACGGCGGCTCTCAATGGCAGCACCGCCATGTCGGCCGGCTCCCCGGGCGCCGATGCCGCTGCCGACCAGTGGTCGCCCCCCGGCTCGCCGGCCCAGCTGCTCCTTTCTCAACACCTGTCCAAGCATTCGGAGTCCGACTTGGAGGACATTGCCTCGGCCACCATGGCCGCCATGGCGGCGGCTGCTGCGGCGGCCCCCTCCCGCAAGCATGCCCCCTCGAACTTGACCACCTCAACTCGCTCGGCGCGCAGCCTTCCCACTGATATCGCCCTTTGGACCGTTCCCATGGTCAGCTACTGGCTCCGGGCCAATGGCTTTGAGCAGCTGGCCCCGCTGTTTGCCTGTGCGTCTTTTTTCTTTTCTTGCACCCACCATCCGCATTCGCGCCGCCCCCATCCCTGGCTAACGGCCATCCATGTCCGCATTTGCCCCATTTGCCGCCCTCGCGCCCAGCCCAAGATATCAATGGCGAGGCCCTCCTTGAGTTGGGCTATTCCGAGCTCTACCTGCTTGGGATCACCACTCCCCATGCTCGGACCAAGGTACGCACCGGAGCACCCACCCCGTTCAACCGCTCGCTGCTTCTCCTGCATTCCGCCACACATGCCGCATCTTGGCCCACACTCCCTGACACCCATCCCCCGTTGCAGCTCATGAACACGATGCAGCGCCTCCGTTACATGGGGGCATAGGAGGGGTGATCGTGCAAATCCGGCAGGAAGACCATCCACAAGAGGCCGCGGCCATGGATACCCGCGCCATGGGCTGCGCCTCCCCCTGAAGGCCTTTGCTGTAGACATTTGGCCGCACGGGGAGTTGGACTTCCCCCAAAGCCGGCTCCCACACTGTCCCCCCCCCCCCCTCTCCCCACTCCCCGGCAAATGCCAAGAATAAGAGCACATATGCCACACCTTGGCACAAATGCCGACCCTCCTACCCTTGAACGGAGTCTCCCCTCCCATCCTCACCTTCTTTGCGCTCCTTGACCAATTGCCCCTCCCCTTGCTCCCCGCTCTCCCCCTACGGCGAAATGCCGAAGGGGGGCCGGACGGAGCGCACCCACACAAGATCGGGCTGACGGGGGGGGGGGCTCCCTTTCGAGCATTGCTCAAAGGAATGGAAAAAAAAACGGAACCACTTCTCTCTCTCTCTCTCTCGGCTCTGAGAGCGTTTTGTACATTATATACCACACATACACAAATATATAAGCAATAAAAAAAGGGCGCCATGGTACGGACAAAGGGAGGGGGGAGAAGGGGACATAACACAGTGTATTCGGACGCGCGGCCGAGGGAAGGGGACTCTGGCACGGCGGCCCCGAGCCCGGGACCCGCCCGGGAAGGAGGGGGGAGAAGGAAGACACAAGCGTCTATCTCTCGAGAGAACACAAACGCAACCCCCATCATCAGCCCCCGCGCCGCACACACATATGTGATATGCTTGCACAGCGAGGAGAGATGGAGAAAGCAGGGAGGATATACGAGAGAAGGAGAGGAGGGGGGGGGGAGAGGAAGACGGCGCGACAGCACCAAGCACCGGATGCTTAGCAGTCGAAGCTCTTGACACCACCACGGGGCTTGTACTTCTTGGCCTCCTCCAGGGTGCGAGTCTGCCACCAGATGGAGCCGGCGGCGGACTGGTCACCCTCGCGGGCGGCACGGCGGACGGCCGCCTCGGCAGTGATGAGGGCCTGGTTCAGAGGGAGCTGATCGGCGGAGTAGAGCTGCTCAAGCTCGTTCTTGGCCGCGTGCGCGCGCACACCGGACCCCTCGGCCGCCTTCATGAGCTCGGCCTTGCGGGCCTCGATGGCGTCGATCTCCTTCTGCACGGCCACCAGAGCCAGCTCGGCCTTCTTGAGCAGGTCGTTCATGGCCTGGGGGCGCTTCATCATCTCGGCGATGGTCTGCTCATAGTTGAACAGCAGGAACTCGACCAGGGTCAGACGCTTGGTGTTCTCGGAGTTGATGGCACGCAGGACGTCGCGCAGGTCGCAGGCGGTGTGGGTGAGCTCTGCATTGGGGCGGGTGGTCCGGTAGAGAGGGGGTCAGGATGGGCGCGAGCCAGGGCAGAGAGCGTGGAGAGGCGCAAAAGGCGCAGAAGGCGCAGTTGCAGTGCAAACGGCAGCGATGGTAGCAGCGGCATGGAGACGCACCGAACTTCTCGAGGTACATGTGGGACTTGAACTCGTCGAGGCTCTTGCCGTTGGCGCCGTGCTCATGGTCGAGGGCCACAATGTTGTTGTTGAAGTTCCAGACCTCCTCGGCGCGGTCGGAGAGCTCGGGCCAGAAGGCGTTCAGGAAGAACTTGGCCTGGTCGGGGTAGGGAAGGGCAAGGACATCGGCGAACTCCATGGTGACGGTGGTGGAAGGGAGCGTGTGCAGGAAAAAAAAGGGGAAGCAAGGGAGACAAGTACTAAGAAAGGAGGGGGGTGAGCAGAAGGACAGGAGGTCGACGCAAATGGCAACATGGGCGGACGAGAGCCGCGGGGGAGCTCACGGCCGGCAGGAGGGGAAGGGGGGGGGGGGGCGAGGGAACAAAAGGGAGAGGTTCGTACAATGTCGGAGGGAGGGGGGAATAATTGCAGAAAATCTGTCTGCCCGCAGCGTCCCCGCCACACTGCCCTCGGGCTGGTCCTCTTATACGCCTCTGGCGGTGGGCACTGCTTCTCCCCCATTCCTCGCCATTCATCCCGCGTGGTGCGCTGCTTGACCCTCCCCACCCCCCGCATGCAGACAGGCGCACCCACACCCACACACAGACACACACCCGCGGAGGTACACCAAGGAAGGGCGGGGGGACACAGTCCTGACGGTCCCAGTGGCCGTGTGTCTGTTGCCCCCTCCCTCCCGAGCATGCCCCCTGGCTGGGCGGGGCTCATGCGCACATGGTCCTTCTGAGGAATTAAGAGTGCCCAGGAAGACAGAGGGGCACCGAGTAGAAAGGGCGAGACGGGGAGGCGGGAAAACGACAGAGACGAACCGCGGAATGTCCTCCCCGGAGTCGGGCGGCAGCGCAAGGAGCAGCCCGCCGGAAGCCCAGCTGGGATATGCCCCCCCCCCCCCCCGGCGACAGGGGAGGCTAGAAGACCACAGGCAAGACCGAGGTCCGGGGATGTGGTCGCGGGAGGAAGGCGGGACACACGCAAGTACACGCATACACGCATACACTTACCCGTACACATACACACACAAACACACACACACACACACAAGCACACGCACACCAGCCTCTAACTTGACCAGCTATCCTCAACCCTAGGACCGGACAGCTGAGCCAGCGATGCACACCCGGGCGAGCAGAAAACCAATCGGCCGAGGGTGACATTCAGATGGGTCATGGACACGGAGGGCGAGACACAAGGGAGCGCGGGCAGAAGGACGGCCGGCCGGGGGGGCCGGGGGCACGACAGGGGAGGCGAGGGGCCGATACCCCTTCTCTGCCCTGGCATTGAGGGAAATAACAAACGCCCGCCCGAACCACCAACCCCGAGATCTCCCTCTCACCCCTGAAAGCGGGGAGCCGAGCGAAGAAAAGAAAGATGGTCGGCACGAGGAGATCCCCATTGGCTGGCCCGAGGCTCTGGCAACGGATCCGACCCCAGCTTCGCCTCCTCGGGTCGGCCAAGGACTCGCACCCTGGCGTCCTCGGAGATGCGCCACAGAGGTTGAGATCAGGAAAATGGCCCGACAAGGGGACAACCGAGAGGAGGCGTGAAGAGCAAGAACAGGTACAGACCCACTTGCGCACTGCACAAGCACACACATGCACACGCCCACACACACACACGCACACACACACACACACAGACACACACACACACACACACATTGTGAATCACTGCGCCCGAGCACCCCCCACAGCATCAAATCGATTTAATCCCGCCATTATTAAATTTCCAAATGCGTGGCCATCCCGTACCCAGAGGAGGAACGGAAGAGAATGCCTTTGCCGAGTCGGATGGCGCATTTTTGCCCGGGTCCCGGGTGGCATGCGTGCGCATGCCCTGCAGTCGCGTAGCGTATATTCAGGAATGCACCTCACAGCAGAATGAAATACCATTCAGATTGAGAGCCCCAGGAAAAAGTTTGGCCCCAGCCAGGATCGAACTGACGACCTTCGCGTTATTAGCACGACGCTCTAACCAACTGAGCTATGGGGCCTGTGCTAGGAGCCAACCGCCATGCGTCTATGAGGTGTTTTTTATGGTGGCCGTCAGGAGGAGGTCGACGAAGAAATGCCCAGGCGAGGCGCCATCTCCTGGACACGCACCAACACATACACACACACGCACACAGAAAACGCCTGAGATGCAGCCTAACCTATTCCTTCCAACGGCTGAGCAAGAGTTGGTATGGCAAAGGGCATCAGCATTGGGGGCGCTGGGAGATCGGCTTCCCTGTTTTATCTGTCGACTTACCGCCCGCTAGGGGGCACCCCCCCGCGCGGGGGTGGTGCGCCAGTGGTGGCACCGTCGGCCGTCCCGGGAACAGCAGTTGTCGTCGCCGTCGTCGTCGTTTTTGTCGTCTGCCCAGTGGTGGCTCCATCCAGAGATAGGGCCCGATAGCCCCACTTGGACATTTGCTCATTGATCCAAAGGGACACCAGGGTGACGGCCTCATGCGCCTCGGGCACCACATCCGTCATATTGAGGAACCCGTGGGGCAGCCGGGGACGAATTGAAATCTCCACATCCTGGTGGGACACCTGCTGCAGGCGGGTATACAGATGGATCGAGTCGTCCAGGAGCGGATCGAACTCGCCAACCACGATGCGCGTCGGGGGGAACTCCGCCAGCGCCTGATCCGGCGCCAGGAGGGGAGAAATGAAGGCCGACTCTGGGGAAAGCAGCCATCCGTGAAAGGGCGCGGTGTTAGCACGGCGAAGCGGGGCCCCTTCCCTCATGCTCATGGATGTGTGTGTGTGTGTGTGTGTGTGTGT